GAGCCCCATGCCAGGCTCAATCCCAGGACCCAGGGATCATGACCTGAGCCAAAGGCAGACGCTTAACCCACTGAGCCACCCAGGTGCCCTTTTTATTATTTTTTTAGGATTTTATTTATTTATTTGAGAGAGTGAGAGCATAGAGGGAGAGTGAGAGGGAGAAACAGACTCCCACTGAGTGAAGGAGAGCCCCATGCCAGGCTCAATCCCAGGACCCTGAGATCATGACCTGAGCCGAAGGCAGACGCTTCACCAACTGAGCCATCCAGGCGCCCCTATATGTAAACTTTTTTTAAAAGGGAGGATCTTTGTTGTCTTATCAGAATCCTGAATTTGCAGCTCTGTCAGTTAAAACTGTCTGTTCAGTTTAGGATTGCCACTTGGGATTTAACATTACAAGCTTTCACTCATTACTTGGAGAGTCAGCATAATGATAGATTCCCTCTGCCTTTGTTACCCCTCAAGGTAGGTAGGGAGTTAGCTTTCAATCTGAGGATTTCTTGCTGAAGCCCCTAAATTTCCCAGAAATCCAAATCATGATGGATATCAGCTTTTGGTGTGTATGATATCTGCTTTGTATCTTAGATCTTCACTGCTTCATATTGGATTTAAGTCACGTGAACAGATTCTCAATATGCTAGGCCCTAGGTAAGATTTTCGTCACCTGGACTTTAGATTCACTGATCATATCTTCAGTATTTTATTTTATTTTATTTTATTTATTTTTTTTTTTTAAAGATTTTTATTTATTTATTTGACAGAGAGAGACACAGCGAGAGAGGGAACACAAGCAGGGGGAGTGGGAGAGGGAGAAGCAGGCTCCCTGCAGAGCAGGGAGCCCAATGCGGGACTCGATCCCAGGACCCTGGGATCATGACCTGAGCTGAAGGCAGTCGCTTAACCAACTGAGCCACCCAGGCGCCCTCTTCAGTATTTTAAGTAATAGAAGAGTTAACTAAGCATATTGGAGAAGCACTTTGTTGCTTCATCTTCTTGGAATTTTGGCAGTTGGCAGTAGTATCAAATTAGCATTTTCAATCTTCTTGGAATTTTGGTAACTATAATTTAAAAATCGTTAACATCAAAATATAAATATATACAAGAGTATATTTGCCAGTGTTCTATATTACTTAATAGATGCCCTCTTTCTCAGTCATCATTGCTGTTGTTTGCATACTCTATGAATTTTCCAATTGGAGAATTTCACTCATGAGAAAAGCCTTATTTTTTCTCTATATCCCTTCTTTATAAAAATGCATACTCGTTCACTGTCTTTGTCAGAGAATTGATTGTGATGGAATTGATTCTTGCCCTAGTAGGTACATAACACACTTTAGGGAATTAAATATTTAAATTTAATCCCTTCACTTCCATCATCTCAGTTTTTTCTTTTCCCTCTTGTAATTTAACCATTATATCTTAATTTCAAACACTTTATTTAGTAGGGTCTTCTCTACATTCATAGCTTTATTTTATATCTTTCTATATGAAATTTCTTGAATTCTTTGTTTTCAACAAATTTGATCATTAGTTTTCCTGTCTTTGAATTTTTCATGTCCGTATATGAATGTGGTAAGTTTGTTCAAAATGTACTTTAAGATTTTAACATTAACACGTACATCAGAACCTCAGTGTCACATAATGTATTAATGAGTAGAGTTCTATTTAAGGTAAGCTGTCCTAGACTTTATCCAGGAACATTGAAAGTTCTCTTAAAATATGTGTACCAATTATAGCTATGAGAGTTTAAAGAATTGTTAGTATGTCTCTTATGCTTCATGAAGCAGATTAGTGAGTGAGAAAGAGCCTCAGATTAGAAATTTAGAGGCAAGCTTTTAACCTTATTTATGCCTCAGTTCCTTCGTCTTTAGGGAGTTATTTCTTGACTATCCGTATGTGTGGAAGAGATTTGTTTAACTCCATCTCTGCATTACTACTTGGTTTAGAAATATATTGTGTGATATTCTTTGAACCAGAATTATGATACTAATTGTTTATCTTAGGTTGAATTTTTAAGTTTATTCATATTTCTCTGAATTTGCACCAAATGTCACTGGAGACTGTTGACCTGGAAGCCTCCTAGTTTGCAGGGGAAAACAGCTTAGCATTAAACACTGGTTGTGGACAAGTCTGAGAGTGGCTAATTGATGTGCAATCAATTGGAAGTTGATTACATGCACATACCTATCTTTCAGATATATTTGCAGGAAAGTGTGATGATGTTTATGAACGACTTGAATGCTCTGAAAACAGGTTCTTTATAAAATTAAATTTTGATGCTGCCACTGCGGTATTTTTATGTCACCTACTGATTACTATCATTTTTCAGATGAGCGTTCATCTGATTACTCTAGGTGCTTTTCCACTGCAGTTGTTTTAAAACATGTTGAAATATAACTTAAAAACCACACAAAATAGATCAGTTGATTCTCTAGTTAAACCACCATTTACATTTCTCTCAGAGTATGTTAAACCAATTTGTTGAACACAAATGTAAAATATTTTACCCGAATAGGAAAACAAGGTAAGGTAATTGGTGAATGAATGAGTGAGAATCATTCATTTATTTGCTTGATTAAAGTTGCTCTATATTCTTGTATTATGAACACATTATTTGAATGCATTTGCAGGGTATGGAATTTAGTGTGAATAAATGTCCAAATCAGAGTGGTTGTTTTAATAGTAGTCTTAAAATTTTTTGATCCTGGATTAAAATCTTAGAAATAAAGCATTCTAGTTGGAAGTATAAAGAGATAAAAAGCTTTTTTTTTTTTTTTAAGATTTATTTATTTGAGAGAGAGAATGAGCGGTATGGGGAGGGAGGTGGGGAGGGACAGAGGGAGAGGATCTCAAGCAGACTGCCTGCTGAGTTCAGAACCCTCAGCCAGGCTCAATTCCAGGACTCTGAGATCATGACCTGAGCCAAAACCAAGAGTTGGATGCTCAGCTGACTCAGCCACCCAAGCACCCCAAGAGATAAAAAGCCTTTAAGATAATTTGGCATTCCATTATTTTGCTTACATGAATAAAGTTATTTGTCAGTGGAAGACAGGCCAATACTTTCTTTAAAAAGTTCATAAAAGGCCTATTTTGCTTGAGCATTTATCTTTTATGAGCTTTAAGTTAATTAAAAATATGTTAACCTTTTTCTTAGTGGTATCTTTTTTTTATCACATACTCATAATTCAAATGCCTTGCACACTGTTGATATTTAAGTGTATTTATGAAATTGGCTAAATTACAGTAAACTCTTAATTATTTATGCCAATGGTAGGAGGAATATGATGGTTATGAGAAAAAAACAGCCATATAGCAAATTTAATTTTCACAATGGATTTACTTTTGTAAATACATTTATATAAGAAAAAGGTAAAATTGTGAAATGTTTAAGGGTTGTGAGCTAAGTGGTAACTGGTGATGGTGGTGTGGAAAAATAGCAGGAGGTCAGAAAGAACTAAACAGGACTGAAAGTTTTCTGTTAATGAAGTGTACATATTGTTGAGAGTTGACTGTAATGAGATTACCTTTGATGAATGAGTTTGATATTTCCCAAGGATTATTTAATTTATTCTCTTTACTTCTCCTTAATTGAAAAATTATGATGTTTAAGTAACGGTTTTAAAATGTAATTAGGAAATAATAAATTGTGTACCTTTTTCTTTTTCTTTCATTTTCTTTTTCTCTTCTTTTTTTAGGGTATGAGTATTATAGAACAACTAGACCCTGTATCTTTTAGCAATTACTTGAAGAAATACCATAATACTATATGTGGAAGACATCCCATTGGGGTGTTATTAAATGTGAGTATCCTTAGGAAGCTGGGTTTTTAACATTTGATCCTGTGATGTTTCAAAATATCTTAATTGTCATCATCTATGATACCTTATTAATGAACATTGGTTTTAGGTAAATTTTCTTTCTAGTACCTTTAAGATAATTTGGCTTTCCATTATTTTGCTAACATGAATAAAGTTGTTACTGGAAGACAGGCCAATACTTTCTTTTAAATACAGAAAAAAATATTTAGAATAGAAACCTAGTTTTTCTCTTGACTCACAACCAGTTCCGATATGTTCTTTACAAATATAAATCAAAGTAACCCTTGGTAATAAGTAGCCTTATTGATTTTTTGGTTTTATTTAATGTTCTAGACTCTATAAAAAATAAATGGAAGATTCTGTTCTTAAACTTCAGATATTCATAATTTAGTAACATGAGACAGATGGCATGTATATGTTTTTCTCTTTACAACAAAAACAATATTTCGTGTAAATAATAGTAAGAGGCAGAAGTTTTGGGTAGCTGGATTTTTGAAAGAGATAATAATATTAATTTTTCCTCTAATAAATAAAACAATGTGGCTTTCCAGAAAGAAACTGTGAGACTTTTTCATAAAGAAGAAGTGTATGTATACTCAGGAATGGGAGGAGGGAGCAATAATGTGTTCATTGTTTGGAGAGGCAGAGAAATAATGGAGAAGGTAATGTTAGTCTAGAAGAGTTCAGGGCAGGAACCTACCCTACAGTGTTAGTTTAGTGTAATTTGAAAGATAGTACATTGTGGATTTTTAGGAATGGTTTTAAGCAGTATTGACTGGAAGAAAAGCCTGTTAAGGGCTTAAACTAATTCTTGAAATTTAAACTAGGTAAGCTATACTAATTTCCTAAAGTCTGAATTCGATCAAATAAAATTTTAATAAAATAAATGGTGAACCAATCCACAATTAAAATAAAAACTGTGGTTTACCTCTTAGATCTGGAAATTAATTTATATATATTTCAAATTTAGTCAAAGTTAGACAAAGAAGAGACCAGGATTTCATGACAGAAGTGGCTAGGATTTGGTTTAATGAAAAGAGAGAAAAGTATATGTTTCTTGCGGTGGCTTTATTAAATATAAGAAGGGTGTGGTGGGGGCGCCTGGGTGGCTCAGTTGTTTAAGCGACTGCCTTCGGCTCAGGTCATGATCCTGGAGTCCCGGGATCGAGTCCCGCATCGGGCTCCCTGCTCGGCGGGGAGTCTGCTTCTCCCTCTGACTCTCCCCCTCTCATGCTCTCTATCACTATCTCTCTCAATAAAAAAAAAAAAAAAGAAGGGTGTGGTGGGAGATGACTGATATTTATCAAGAAGTTAGATTAGGGGACATTCTTTGAGAGAATGAAGTAAGGAATTATCTTTTTCCCATTTAATATGATGCAATAAGAAGTTCAAGAAACAAATCAAGAGAAGAGTAAAAAATCTAGGCTTCAGCTGTGAGGTGGACAAAGTTAAGCCACCAACACAAAGAGTGTTCACTTTTTATGAGGTCTGTTGTAACCAATTTTTTTTTTCCCCTAGGCTATCACAGAGCTCCAGAAGAATGGAATGAATATGAGCTTTTCCTTTTTGAATTATGCCCAGTCAAGCCAGTGTAGAAACTGGCAAGACAGTTCAGTGAGTTATGCAGCGGGAGCACTCACGGTCCACTGAAGCTCTGAATCCTCAGGGATGCCACCTGCACATACTCATTCTCTGTCTGGGGTCCCAGCCTAGCCCTTACCAAGATACTGGTCCTGGTTTGGGGGGATTCTGAAACCTCAAACTAATAGAACTTTCTTCTCTTCTTTTCTAGTAGGTGTAGTCCTTCCTTAATTTCAACTCATTAAAAAATGCTTTATAGTTTAGGGCAGTGGAAGGAAGGCTGGCATCAAAATATTTTGATCAAAAAAGATGGCAATGTAAAGGCCCAATTGTGGCAGACAGTGTTTTGAAAGTAACTTGTAAAGCATTTACCATATCCTAAATTTGCACTCTTTGCAGACTTGTGCACATATATTCCGCTTTCAGAATAGTTTTGCAAATTGTACACAAACAAACAAAAAAAGGGTGGAAGCTTTTTAATAAAGAAATTGCATTTATAAATGATCTGTATTAGAATATAATAAATCTCCAGTTATAGTCAATTACTACCCGTGTTGTACAACAGATACCTTCTATTTTAGTTGCTAATAAAGGGCTACACAACTCAAAATAGTCTGATTTAAACTTATTGCTCTGTGGTACATATGAAAATTTTTTTTTTTATTAATTCCATCTCAGAATTTTTATGTTAAAAGTGGTAAACTTCAGCTCATGTAAAAAATATGTTAGGATGTATTTTATATTTTACATATTTATGTGATTTTTTATCACAGATATTAGAATCATATTTTAAAGTTAGCTTTGAAAATTACATACAGTTTGCCTTTTTGTGTGTGACATCACTTTGTGTCATTACTATATTATAATAGAATATAAATTCAAGATTGGTAAAAGAACAGATGTAGTCCTTTCCTCCAAAGATCGTGTTTGATAGGCAGTAGTCTGCAAATGAGGAAACATTGAAGAGTGTTCTTAGTGATTTTCAAATCATTGCAGACCATACACTACTGCTATGCTTTCTTAGTGCTTTAAGCAATTTGACTCTCTTACTTGAATTTTTAGCAAGAAATCATTAACAGTAACAAAAACAAAAAACCACTGGATTTTCTTATAGTTCTACAAATTTTTTGTCATGATATTTGGTGCGGCTCTTCCAACTAAAATAATGGTATGGTGTTGTATTTCTTTTTTTAGCATAGACCATTTCTAGTCACTTGGAGGAGGGGAAATATATATATATATAATTTGATTAGTTAATTATTGGCCACCATGCATGTACTAGATTATACCTATTTCAATCTAACACTGGGTATCTACATTACATTGGAGAACATTTGTATCTTCAGTGTTATGCCGGAATAGCACAATTTTTAGATGCCTTGCACCAATTTTATTTAAAGATTTGCGTTTCTTATTTACTAAATATCAACTTTCTATACTCAAGAATTGAAAAAAAATAATGTTATCTTTTGGATTCAAAATTATCCACCTATACATGTGTGGAAATTATACTCTTACATATTAATGATTTATTTCCCATCACTTAGGTATACTTTTGAGTACTATAAATATTTATTCCTTATTTATTATGTAGACTATAAAAATTTCAAAATTGACTACAGAGTGAATTTTTATTATTTTCTGAGTATAAAACTGATACATGATTATTATAGAAAATTTAGAAAATACTGAAAAGGATAAAGAAGAAAAAAAACTTATCTGCAATTTCACTATCCAGAGATAACACTGTTAATATTTTTTGTATTTCCTCTCAGTCTTTGTCTATGCTATTTATATGTATGAGTGTGTATATGTGTTTGTGTGTGTGCATAATAACAAATTGAGATTATACTGACTATATAGTTGTATACCCTACTTTTTATAACTTCCTAAGTACTTCCCCATGTCTTTGAAAATGTAATTTTTAAAAAATGGCTGCCTGATATTTTATTGTATGAATATATACACCATGATGGAACCAGTTCTTCCTTTGGATATTAGATTGTTTCTAATATTTCACAATTATAAATAATAGTGGGATGGACATCTTTGTAAAATTGTAAAATTCGAACTCTATAATAGACTAATTCTTTAGGGTATATTCCTGGGAGTGGGATAATTGTTTTAGATGGTGAGAACTTTTTAGGCATTTTCAAATATGGCCAAATTACCCTTCAGAAGGTTTGTACCAAATTAGCAATACGTGAGTACCCATCATACTGCCCCTTCTCCACTACTGATTATTATTTATTTTAATTTTTGACAATTTGTTAAGCATATAATTGGTTGTTCTTTTTCATCATTCTGATAAGAGTGGCTTTACCATGAATCAGGTTTTTTCCTTCTGTGATTTTATAGTTGATTGATTAATAAAAAACACAAGAGGGTTGCTTGGGTTGAGTGGACTATACCCCTGTGAATATGTTTATTGTACATTTAAAAGTCTAGAATATTTCAACATCACTCCACCCTTTCCTAGAATATGAGCATATCTTTCATACTCAATCATGGAGTAGAAAGAGTTCCAAACTGATAGTTGAGTACTGAGTTATAGTTCTGTCTGTGCCACTAATTAGTTCTCTTACATAAATATTTCATGTTTTATCGAGACATTCTCATCTGTAAAATGTGGAAGTGATCTTTTAAGCACATTCTAGAATGTTAAAAAGCTACATGATTAAATTAGAAGTTTTATCTTGATTTCAACTCTACATACATAAAAATGAAAATCTTTTTTTAACACAAAAGGGAAATTAATTTGCATTATTTAATGCAGTTAATATTACCTAAATTGTTGAACTTAAGCTTTTCTACTTTAAGTGCCTTAGAAGTGTTTTGTATTTGAAATCTAAAATGTAAAGGAAATTATTATGTGGTTCTGTACAGTTTCTTCTTTATTACATGCATTTGAGTTACTTGCAGCAACTTTTTTTTAACCGTAGATTGCACAGAGCAGTATATTCATGGATTCTTCACTATTCTGCTAGTGAGTCCTTGAGAAATGTATGTTAAAGATTAGCTCAGTGAGCAGGTAAGTGAATACTTTGTGTTGGGTGGGCAACAAATCTTCATACAGAGTAGGATAAAGGACTATTTGGATATTCCAGTGTTCATATTTAGACACTCCAGTATGGATGGTATGTCCTGAGTTAGTCACTGATTATTGTTGCAGGTCACAAAGTTTTCTTTGGTAGTAAATAGTTCATTGCTCTAGATAAGAGGTTGGCAAATGTTTTGTGTGAAAGACCAGATACTAAATATTTTGGGTTTTGCAGGCCGTATGGTCTCTGTCCCAACTATTCATCTTTGCTGTTGTAGCACAAAAGCAGGCATGGGCAATGTGTACATGAGCCGGTGTGGCTCTGTTTCAGTCAAACTCTGTTTATACAGAAAGACAGCTGGATTTGGTCCCTGGGCCAGAGTTTGCTGTCCCCTGTCCTAGATGGTCTAGTTTACTTATAGTTCAAATTATTGGCTAGCAATTTAGACTGCAAAAAATGATTGTAAGTTTCTACCTTCCTAAGCCTCTCTTATTTTGATGTAGTGTACTTGACTGGGTTTGAGTGTTATTTAGAATTATAAAGGGAAGTGGGAAGTGGGTAAAGAAAAGGAGGAAGTCTTAGGAACTAGTGTTAAAGCACTTTGAAGCCCTTTTATTTGCTGAAGCCCACTGGGAGGTTTGCTTTGCTGCTGTAAATTAATCAGAAGAGTTGATGAGGTTGTGATTAGTTGTTGCAAATTATAGGAATTATTCTAAGCACTTGGCTACCTAGACGGTACTAGAGGATGGATGAGATGAACCTTTGTATTTGAGTATTCTGGGACATAGACCAGTAATTTAAGAGAGACTGTGAAATGTGAGACTCTCTTTTTCCATGTAAAGACTTTGGAAAAATAACTACCATCTTCCATCACTGTCCCTTAATATTTAGCCCCCTAACCCCAACGCTCAATATTTAGGAAGGACATAAACTCAGAATAAAAAAGAATTATTTAACTTGAACAACTTCAAGTTGATGGAAAAGTTACTATACTCTTCTATTTTCATTTACTCTGGATCAATGAAAACTTCATCAAAGAGTGGTATTAGTCCATAGACTGGCAGTTGGGAAGCGCTATGGTATGGTTGCTGAAAGACCTAATGTGGTTATGGAACTAATACTGAGTAGCAGGCATGCACTCTGACATTCCGTCTAAAACTTTAATATAATTGTGTTAAATTGTTAAGTGCCACATATTAAGCGGGACATTATGAACTATAGTGTTCATAGGGAGGCATCTAGAATGATGAAAGGCCTGAGTGCTGTGGAGAGTGGGATGCAATCAAAGAAATTGATAATATTCATTTTGGAAAAGATAAGTTTACAGAGAGGGAGTTTTTTGTTTTTTTTTTTCCCCCAAATATTTGAGTGACTACCATGTATAGGAAGAAACAGAATTTTTCTGTGTTTTCCTAGATGGAAAAATTAAGAAATGGAAGTTTCTGGTTCCACATTTAATGTTCTATATGAGAATTTCTAAATGCAAATAAGCTCTGTCCTCAGAAAACATTAGAAGTACTCAAAAGCTAGACCAGTGGTTCTCAAAGTAGTGTCCTGTGCTGTCAGCAGCAGTATCACCTGGGTATGTTATTGGTATAGATCTAAAATTATGGAACACCAAGCTGAAAAAAAGCTAATGGAATTAGTACAAATAAAATGGAATTTATTTCATGTGTATAAAACTATTAAGGGCAGTAATTTTTAAATAAAAATTGATTTTGATCATTTAACACTAACTTACAACATTGATTATAAATTGATGATTGTTACTTGTTAGTGGTGGAACACTGGACCCTTAGAATAATAGTATACTTTTGTTTTAGTTAAAACATTTAAATACAAGCTAGAAGTTTCTATTTACTAAAATAAATTTCAGTTGATCTTCAAGTCAGTGACTTCCTTTCTTAAGCATGTGTTTCTTGAATGTTAAAACAGAGCCGTATCCGTAGCAAAAAAGGGTATTAAAGGAGCTTGCTCTTTTTATACCTGAATATTAGGAAGGGAACCAGGAGGAGCTGGCAGATAAATTCTCTCTGCCTTCTTTCTCTTTTACCCTGTAAATACAACTGAGTGGAGTGTCACACTGTGATCACTGACTGTGCTAATCATTTGGTAACAGTACCCTCAGGTGATGCCAGTAACTGGCATTTCTGCCTTTTCAAAGTCGCTGTTGTGGATGGAATTTGTTTGCCTGTCATGAGTTTATTGATACATGCTATTTGTTGGGGTACTATGTGAATAATTTTAGGGTTTTAGATTTGTCATTTATTTAAAGGTTCTCTGGGGATTTCGGAGTGGTTTGTGCCCAAGATGTATCACATTAATTGTGTATGTGTGTGTGTTTAATTCTAATTCAAGGTTTTGGCCTTCACACTATAAAATAATAGAAAAAAACTTTAAAAGCCAGTTCTTCTGATTTTGAAAGCCATAATATAATACAGTTGGTTTTTCATTATAAATTGTAAGTTATGTTCAAATGCATATTTCATACTGTATAGTGAGGTTGTAACTTCACTAGCTGTAGTCCTGTTTCTTTCCTGTCGTCCTAATAATGAAACCAAAGAGCATATAAATACTATTATT